TGGGTGCCTTTTCATTCTCATATTCTTCAATGTTGGTTTTACTTATGTGTCCTTTGTCGTATTGGTTCTTTGAGTGGACTTAGTTAGATATTTATGTCTTTTATCTTCTAAGTTCCTTTAGTGGTTTTGTACTTTAAATGTTGCTTATTGTTTTAGGTTGAATTTCATAGTTTTGCAAGTTTGTTATTTTTATTTACTTTGTACAAATTTCTAGGCTTTGTGAGTTTGTTAGTAATGAGTACTTTCTCTATGTATGTTTAGGTTATGTCTTTTTGACTACACTTCATGACAGTTTCGTGGGTTCTACGGGTTCTGTCTGAAGGTTTTTGACTTCATTTCCACTTCTCAGATCTCCTTCCCTCCTCCTTGGGATCATACCTCTTCCAGTCAGTCTGTTCATGACCTACTATACAAAGAGGCAATCAAATGGGTGGTACCCACTCAACTGGAGTTTTTACTTCTGTCTAACTGTTGTCCTTCAAAACTCAGGAAATTGGAGACCCATCATAGACCTGTCCTGGTTTAACTCCTATTTGGAGCCACCTCACTGCATGGAGTCCTGCCTCTTACTTCAAGGTTATCCTTGGGACTCTGGATGACCAAATCATCGTGATGGATGCCTATCTTCATATTCCAACTGCTCCAGTGTCAAATTGTTTTCTTCAGTTTGTCTACGAGGTTTGTGTCTTCCAGTTACAGATGCTGCCATTTGGTCCATCTTTGGTTCCGTGTGTTTTGTCGAGTGGTACGCTCTTTTGCCCATCATTTTCACTTGTTGGATCTTTGGACTCTCTTTTTTCATGGATGACTGGCTCCTGTTCACCTCTTCCTATGCCCTGTTGGTCAATCACACCTGTTTACTTCTTCAGGTTGGGTTTTCTCATCAAGTTGGAGAAGTTTCTTATTACCCCATGCAGTATCTTATTCATTTGGGGATTTTCTTCAATTCCCATCTCAGTTGGGCCCAGCCTTCTACACTTCGGCTCTGGGATATGAAGTGGGCAGTCATGAAGGCCCTACCTTCTCCTTCTCTCTCAATTCTTTCTCTTTTGGGAATATGAGTTTCCTTGGAAGCTCTCATTCCCTTGTGTTGGGCACATATCCATTCATTTAGTGGATACTTCTCAACCAGTGGAACTTCCCCCACGATCTCTTGGGCCATCCCTATGATCAGAGCTGATCTTTGCTTGGTGGCTCAAAAGGGACTTTACAACAGTGGGGTTCCAATTCCTCTGCCTTGTACCAAATCTCATCTGTCCACAGATGCTTTGTTGGTGTTTTGGGGGAAGGGGCTTTTCTTGATTCCCAAGAGATTTCTGTTTGGTGATCAGTTAATGAGGCTACTCTCTATATCAACATCCTAGAACTATTGGCAGTTTGTTGGGCTCTGTTTCATTTCCTCCCAATCCTGTGGGGGTTGGTGTTTCTGGTTCATTCCAACAATTCCACTATCATCAGCTATATCACCAAAGAAAGGGAACCAAGTCCAGATCGCTGTGTTTTCAGACTCTAGATCTCCTGTACTGGGCCAACGATCACGACTGATGGTGCTGACATATCATGATCCCAGAATTATGTATCTTGTGGCCGATTGCTTATCTTGTCCTAACCAGTTTCTACCCACGGAGTGGTCCTTTCATCCTCAGGTATTTCGGTGGATATGTTTTCAACTAGGAACACTGCATATAGATGCATTTGCCACTCACTGGAACGCCAAACATCCTTCATCTATGTGCCTACCCTATGATCAGACTCTTCTTCAGAGTCATTTCCCTTATCCATACCACTCTTTGTCGTGTTCTACTAGCTGCTCTATATTGGCCAGCTCAGACATGGTTTCCTCTGCTCTGTCCTGGTCACTCCTCTGACAACGGGGATTGGATATATTTCATCCCAATGTCAACAAACTCCATCTTCATACATGAGTTATTGCCTCAACTCAGGGAATCTTCCCTTGTGTAATGTCTTTCCTTGCCCATACCTTTCAATCTTCTCATTGTTTGTGTACCAGAGGCATTGGTCTTCTATCAGACTTTGGTCCATTCACCATCGCTTCTGCTTATCACATCATTCTGTTCCTCATCTGTCCCAATTTTTCAACCGATTGTTTAATCAGAGTTTGTCCATATCAAATGTTGCTAATTCTAGGGCTGCCCTGTCAAACACCTTTCAATTCTCCCATTTCTGGAATGTCTTCTCCTCCCCTGTTATTTTCTTCCTTTTCTGTTCCTTTCATCTGGTCCATCAACCTCATCCCTTTGTTCTGCTGGATTGGGATGTCAATGGATCCTTCATGCTCTATCTGGTTCTCCCTTTCAATCCTGTTCCTTGCACTATCTTTCCCTTAAGACCTGTTTCCTCCTCCTCCTGGCATGCAGTTGTCATTGTTTCAATATTTATGCCATTAATGTTTCCTGCATCCTTTATCATTACTTGTATGTTATCCTCTATCCAGATCTGCCTTCCTTCCCAAGAGATCAACTGCCCGGGAAGATTGACTAGCTTTTTTTCATAATTCCTTATCTTCCATTTCCCACCTGTACTTCTATTCGGGTCTGGATCAACTCCTTTGTCCAGTTTGTTCCCTCTGATGTTATGTGGCTCGTACTGCTTCCTTTCATGATTCTCATTCCCATCTATTTGTTCCATGGAATTTTTCTGTTTTCTGTGATCTATCACCAGTTATGCTTACTGGTTTGGTTTGTCAACTCATATGACTGACATATTCTGACTTGTTTATGGAAGGTCACTGTTTACATAATATTTCTTCACACCAAATTCATCATCTAACTATGTCCTTAGCTGCTCGAATCTGCCATATTTTTGAGATCATTCAGGCTGGTATGTGGACAACTCCCAATACATTTGTCACATGTTATCTGCATGACCTATCATCTGAGGGGTATCGTCTTCCTCCTGTGGTGATTCTAAATGTCTCTTCGCCTTTGGCTGGAGTAAGTCAACATTTTATTATTTTCTATCACTATTGAGACGGGGTGTTTCTGTAAGACCTCCAGCTCCTTGTCCAGTAGTATGGGTATATATGTATTTTTTTATCACTGTTTCATATATATAAAGGACCATCACTCATGGAATTCTTGCGTAAAGCAGATAAGGATTTCTTCCCATCCCTACTGACCTGTGATTCCCCCATTGCACCATTTCTGATGTGTTGTTCCTTCAGACTCCCCTTGCATATTGCCCCCTCTTGCCACTTCAAGTACCCAGTTGCTGGAGTGGTGGACCAAGAAGGCTTTCTCCTAAATGGGTTTTGTAAAACAAACATAATTGGACATTATATATCATGTGTACCCACTTGGCAAAAAGAGGGCTATCGTTGTTATAGTCATTGCTGTACCAAACAATAATTATACATAATATTCATGATCCAAGGTGCATACTGCACTTGTTGATCAAAAATATCTTATGCAAGGTGCTTCCACTGGATGTTTTCTGCCCAGATGGATCGCACTTGGCATAGTCCAGTGTATCTCAAGGTGCTTTCCCTGGATGTTTTTTGCCCAGGAGGACTGCACTTGTTGATCTCAATATCTTACACAAGGGATTTCCACTGGATGTTTTACCTAGATGGACTGCACTTGACATACTCTGGTGTATCCCTAGGTACTACCCTTGGCATGTACTTATACAGGCCCATTGTCAGTTCCACACTAGACTTTCCATGTTTGTCAATGCCATGCTGTTTCAATTCATGATTATACAGCACGTTTCCACTGATTCAGTGCTGTACATCTATTTCCTGTATGCATTGGTGCCTGTCAATTCAGTTTTGCCCTCTTTTTGTTCTTGTGTTAATTACTGTGTGAAGTGCATAGCTGTTCCAGAAGTAGTGTTATACCCTACAGCTGTGCTTTCATTTCATATTTTTTTTCGCACCTATTCTTTCAGTGCAGTACCTTTCCACTTGATTGGATATTGATGCATTGGATGAGTGAAATAAAAACTTCTTTGTATCAAAGGATAGGAAATTGTACTTCTGTTTTTTTCCTTAACATAATAAACATTAAAAAATGCAAAGAAATAAATAAAGGTACCAATAATGAAAAGAAAGACATACTGATTTCAAGAATTATATCAATATGAAATTAGAGGGGGGGGGACTACCACCACCCCCTCCTGGCCTTTCTCTTGCCATCCTGTATCACTGTGTCAAGTTATGCTGATTTGGTAATTTTTTTTTAAATGAGATGGGGGGGGGGTCTAACCCCCAACCCTTTCGTTACCTTCCTCATGTCATCCTGTATTACAGTGCCAAGTTTGGTGCTGATTGATAAAGATATGTGGAAACGTTTAAAGAACAGATACTCACACACACAGATTGATGCTTATTTATATAGAAGATGATCTTCCTCATGTCATCCTATATCACCTTGCTTTATATAGTAGATTAAATTAATTACAGCTAAAAACCAGATAAAGCTAATATCAAAAACCAAATTATTTGATTGGATGTATTTGAAATTTGAATATACTTATACCTTACATGTTGTACCTTAAATGGTGTTAAGAGATGAATTGTTATACAGAAATAAATCTATTATCCCCTTATTGTGTTCACTTGAGGCATCTCTTCCCATAAAATGGCCTCAACACCAACTCAAAAATAAATTATAAAGGCAACATTTCCTGAAAATACAAAGTCTGTAGACCTCTATTTTTGGTTATGAGTTCATGAATTGATGGAATCTTCTAATTAAAACTATCAACATGTGAAATGTGCAGCACAACAATAACATTCTTGACAAAATAACTTAAATAGCATATTTGAGTTTATAAATTCATCAGAACTACCTTTTTAGGTATTAACATGTGAATTGTTGAGGAAAATAATAGCTGTATTATGATATAACCATTCATTACATTTTTGATGAAATTGTTAAAGCTCATAATATGATTTCTTGTATTGATTTATTATGGTTTTACAGTCTATTTGTGCTATAACTGATGTAAAACTTGTTCCAATGTTGTTTATTTTGCAGGTCAGTTGCTTGAAGTTAAACTGGATTCTCGAGAGTATCATAATGAAATAGGCCCTGTTATTAACAGAAGCTTCTTCCTTAAAAACAGCTGTCACATCTACAAACCATATCAGGCATTTCTGCTTGTAAACAAGCATTTGGAACAAGAGGTACAAGAGGGTTTACAATTTATTCTTTTTTTTAAAATTGGGTATTTTAGTGCACTGTTTTAAACATTGGTATAACATTGTAAAAAATAGTGTTTGATATATATCTAGAGAAAACCTTTAATCAGAAATTCTATTCATCTCTCTGCACCACAAAAAGCTATTACCTCACACCCATTTCCTATGCATGCCATAATCCTTGAACAATGTTCCAATGTGTATTACTCGAGCCTAAGATGTAATGTTAATGATGTTAAGATGTTAATGGCCAAATATCCGTCTTTGATCTTTCCTTGGTTCCCAATTTGTAGTTTTCTCAATCACTGATGGATACTCTTCCTGGTGGTGGATGACCTGATTCAGGGTCTTACACTCTTTCTCCATATTCCGACTTGTTTGCCCATCTTTTGCTTCCCTTCATTTGTTCACTGCAATGACCAAACATTTGGTTCTCATTCCTTTTCTTTGAATTTGCTATGGCTAATCTTTTTTATAGGGTATGATGACTTCTATTTTTCTGACTACAGACTTTTTCTTTTGGGCCCATGACCACCACATTCAGTTAATAATCTCTCATAGATCAACTGTCTCACCTAATCTTGAACTCTTCCCACTGAGTGTTTTCTCCATCTTCTGGTTTTTCAGTGCATCTGCTCCCATTATGGGGGTTCTATCATCACTGCCTGTACAGCTTTCTTCCACACATTTGGTGTTCAGAATCTAGAATTATGTGCCTGGTGTGGTTCAACTTCCTTTTGTATGCTTCAGATATATTTCTCACCATTACTTGTACAACATGGTGGTTTCACCAATTCAGGCTTTTTTCTCTTTCCAGATATCTTTCTCCATTCTTCACTGTGGCTTAGATGGTGACTTATGTTTCTCCTTTCTTTTTCAGGTCTCATAACTGCTGTTTTCTAACTACACATATATATCTATATTATGGAATTGATGTAACCTAATGAGCTGCTACTGTTACCTCATGGGGAATACTTACCCAAAATCTGCATCAACCATGGGATTGGAGAAAGTGTTAAGCCCATCCTCCACTGCTGGGCACGGCATGGCCAGGTGGTTAGGGTGCTCAGCTCGCAATCTGCAGGTCATGGGTTCGAATCCCCGTCCCACCAAACATGCTCGCCCTTTCAGCCGTGGGGGTGTTATAATGTGATGGTAAGTCCCACTATTCGTTGGTAAAAGAGTAGCCCAAGAGTTGGCAGTGGGTGGTGATGATTAGCTACCTTCCCTCTAGTCTTACACTGCTAAATTAGGGACGGCTATTGCAGATAACCCTCGTGTAGCCTTGCACGAAATTCAGTACAAACAGTCCTCTACTGCTCAGTGCCCACAATTGAGATAGGGTTCTCCACAAGACTGCTACAGCAGTGTCTATGTGTACTTTCCAGGCCATTCTGTGCTTGTAAAAAAAAAGACAGCACCAAGTGTATACCTGCTCTCACACCTGGTTTGCATCTGCTGTTTTTAGTTGCCATAACACATTGCATTCTCTTTCAGTGTGGGACATTATCCCAGATAATTGTGCCTCGTAGGAATGATCCATGTGAATCCTCCCCCCCCCCTTCTTCTTGTGGAATACAGGAGAATCTGTATTTTTTCAATCCCAAACTGCTGCAGAAGTTGGTACGTAGAATTCCTCATTGGGCAGTGCAATCCCACTGATATGAGACTGAGTGGAAGCACCTGTCATTTTGTAAAGCAGGGCTTGGATGTTACCTGGTTTTGTAGTACAGGACACCCCACTATGTTATGAACCAAGCAATTCCTGATGATTAGGTTCAGCCAGATGGGACTTGGGTTTGCCTCATTCCACAGGTCTGGGATGCTATTACATTTGATTTTTGAGGTAAGTATCTCATGTAAATATTTTTCTAATATGGAACAGCTTGACTTGTGGCTTTAGCCACACTACACACTCATGCTCAACTGTTTGCTTGTGAGATAATAGGCAGTTGATGAATCTGCCATTCTGTCTACCTTAGCGACATATTAACACTAATATATTTTGCTATATCACCTCTATTGGGTGATAACTATTCCCTATTGAGGATGGATGTGGTGTCCCACTAGGTTACCCCCTGCCTTCTTGGGCTTTCTTTTTTTGACATTGCTTTCAGGAAGGAACTAATCTTTGATCTTTTTTGCACTGGTCCCTTTACCATCTTTAGTGTGGTATTCCAGGTCTTTGGGTTGCAGGGTGGTGAGTTGCATTTCTTAAGTTAATATTTTACTTACTTGGAAATGTATTTTAGATTAATACCTTTCTGCATCAGCTCCCATTCTTCCTCTCCACTTCTGGTGCATTTAGTTTACATCATCAAGAAAGTATCTGTGTTTTCTTGTTAGTCTTATGAATGCTTGGAGGTCGTGTCACTTATTTTTTTGATGGAGGCTTGTAGTCTAATGTTCATTAAATCATAACTTGGTCCAATACATATTGACATGTGTAAGAATGAGAGATTTACTCAAAGCTTGTAGGAAATTATGCAGCAGTGCACACAAGGTAATTGCTTTTTTTGGTGCAAAATGTTTTTTTTTTTCTGAAATATATTTTTTAGGTAAGGATAATGGTAACCTCCAAAAGGAATACTCAACTCTGCATACAGATTAGCTTTCTTCTTCTTCATGGATTCTGCCAAAGAGATTTGCAAGCTACCAGCATTATGAAAACTCCCACCTAATTTCACATGATTCCACTTAAATTTGTGCCACTGCATAATATCATCATGCAGCAGAACCCTCCACAAATAGGAGTGAGACACCCCTATATATGCAATAACTCCCCATACACTTCACACTTGTGAATCCTCATTCATTACCTCATCACTCCCAAGTTAACAAAAGGGTGACATAGCCCTCAGAACACACACACACACCCTCTTTATTTCAAGAAAAGACCACTGTTGATATCTATAATGTTTCATGTTACTGTGATCTTTTCTAATGGGGAACACTATGATGTGAATAACTGTAATTACCTAAAGTTAGAGAAGCTTAATGGTTCTCTCCTAACCATTTTTCAAATCTGAAACCAACACAAAATACTCAGAAAATTTGAAAAAATTGTCTATTAACTGAGGGGGCAGAAAACATATATTAGCTTAGCTTACCACACGTCAGTTAATTGGTCTTAGCATATGATGTTGAACTCAAGTAATTAATTTTCAACATTAAATTGTGATACCTTTAGCATTTTCTACAGCATTTGAATCTGAGAGATGAAAGCATCTTTTCTTTTTTTAAGCTGCACATAAGTAAAATTTCTATAGTCTAGAACACTTTTTATTTTCATGCTTGGAAAAGACAATAAATATCACTGATTAATAGATTTATAAGAATTAGACTTCTGTATAAATGTAGGCAATTGCCATATATAATGAGAAATGCAAAACATTAATGAACAAGATTCGTGTTTACACTGAATGTTTAGTTACTGAAGTAAAAGGCATACAATAGAGCAAGTAGTATTTTTAATACATTTTTTTATTCATTTTTAATTACAATACAGATTTCTTTCAAAATATGTTTAGAAAGTTTTCTTTTACGTGTTTTGAAAAAATTTATCAAAATATCCACTTAGTTAAAATGCTATTTTATAAGAAACACTCTGCATTTTCATCTGGTATTGTGTTTATGTATCTTTCTCAATTCTTCTTATATTGAAATGTTTAGTGGAAAATATAGTTTATAGCAAAATTAAGGGAAACAGAAGCTTGTTAAGCTGTAACATCAGATTAGCTAAAATCATATTTTTAAAATTATAATTTAAAGACTGGGAAGTATTAACCATGAAATTCAGAAATGTTAAAGTGCTGTTTGGTTGTCAAAAGTGTGTTTTGCTAACTTTTTATTTTGATAAAAGAACTTGTAAGAAAGATTCTTCATTTATACTGGATGAATGTTTATTATGAATTACTAAGTTTAACTTTAAGTGAAAGAACCTGTGAATCTCCCAGTTTCTTATCTAAATTTTTCCCATGTTACTGGTCTGCTCAATATTAAAACTCTAGAATAAGTAACCTTTAACCTAACCTAACTCTTTACTAATCTAAGGTAGTCATTTTGTCAGAGAGTATTGTTTGCAATAAAACTTTAAAAGAAAATCAACAAGTAAGAAATTTCTAATCTCTGCCTTTTTTCTATACTTTTACCATTTACAGTATTTCAGAAGAAAGCACGAACTTAAATGTATGGGAAGATCTGAAAAAGATTTATCAGATCAGCATGCCTTTCTTCAAGTCAACTCAGTTCAAGAGGCAAGTTGCAATTAGCTACATTTGATACCCTGTATCAGTTTCGCCTGTGATCTGAAAGTCGGATTTCAAATTAGACAGACTTACCTGTGAAATACTGAAAGCCTGTAAAGTTTGAATTCAATGCTGTCAACAGAATATGACTTAAAATTCCCGATTATCCTTTACACATTGTGTTACTTACCCATAATTCTCTTCTTCCACATGACTTATTGTGCAAGCATCAAGCAGTCTTACTTAAGCTTTGCTTCCCCTCCAGTTGACAGTTGTGCTGTTCATATTGTGCAATGCAGTCTTTTTGCCATGATAAATTCTGAAGTTCACGGTACTTCTGAAGCTAATATTCCTGTTCCTGCTTTTCTTATATCTTCTACTACTTCTGTTCATGGTTGTAATCTTTCTGCTTCTGTTGAAACCTTATTTCAACAGTCTTTCCCTGGTGTGCAGATGATTCCTGTCATTATAGTATCAACATTCATTGATTAACATACTTTCATCATTCATGCCAAGTTCCTGGTGAGTATAAGGATTTCTCGGATTACAAAAGAATGGATCATTATCGTCTTTCTTCTTTTATTCATGAAGAAGCTGTTTATTTTGCTCAGGCTTTTTCACCTTTGTCTGAGGAATATTTTCATTTTGACAGTTTTTTACTTTTTGAATTTAAGAATTTAATTTATAATTTCATTCATCAAGTTTGTAATATAGCACTTAGTATGTTGCTAATAGTCATACATCGAGGATGAAGTTGAATAAAGTTTTTTCCTATTTGTTCTTTCATGATTCCAAAATTGCTCATAGAAAATGCATGTATATCAATAACACCAAGATTTTCCATTCTAGGCACACACATTGTTTCTCATAACCATGAATAGATTATTTGAAGACAAGAAAAGCTTCACTCAGCTTCAACACTGCTAATGGGAAGTACAGCTAACATAAGAAGAAGCTCCCATGCATTAGGGAAAATGCGAGCATCTGCAATTGAGTGCAAAACAGAAGTTATATTTCCTGAGGTCTCGTTGCTATTTTCACAATTGTATTTCCATCTGTCTAATTCACTGTGAAGTGATTCTGGGTTTGGCAATACATGCTGCCATTTATCAAATAGGATAATGTGAATAGCTTCAACATCCATGTTGTTAGCTAACTCAAGTATAAGGCTACACAACTCAAAATGAGCTTATTTGTTCTCTCCAAATATACTTTCTAATTGAGAAATGATATGATCCTAGAAGGGAATTGCAATGGACTTTTTTCCAATATTCTTTTATGGATTCAGCTGGTATCTTGTCTCTGTGCTGCTGTTACCCACATCACCTTGGTACACTTTCTACAATATCATTCTCCACTACAAAATCTGAAAGTCTTTTGTATAGTCTGTCGAAGAGGTTATCAGTATCAGATCTCATGTTCTTGTAATAATCAATTACAAAATTGACTTTCTTAAATGCTAAGTACACCTCCATGTGCTCACCTTGCAAGGCTGTTGCAAGTGGAGAAAGAGGCTCCAAAAACTCCTTAGCCAAGAAAAATGCAGAGAGATGCTCAGAACTTATGAAAATATGCTGAAGTCTATTTGGTTTTACTTTCATGTCATTATCTAAGTTCCAGTTTGCGACATCAGAATCAAAGGGTCCATCAGATGGTCGACAGATTTCTTCTAGTGCTTGTATTATGTATGGGTAGAGAACAAAAAAGAGTATCATATATTGTGTGCCTCTTAGCTCATCTTGTTTTACGTAAACTTTGAAGTAAAAAAACTTTAGCTTTAGGATATTGGTCTTTTATTATTGCTTCTAGGAAAGTGTGTCTTTCAGGAGAATTGTCAAAAAATAGATAACTTCTTGGCATGTTTAGATCATGTTGCAAATTGAAGGCAGTGCACAAGTATGACAGATCACCAGATTTAGGAAATGTAGAATGCAACCTTGATAGTCAGCATCTGGGGCAAGCTTTTTATATGTCCTTGAACTCCATTTATGGTACTTATTGATGCTGTTGTATCATAAGCCTGCCCCTTGCAATCACCAATATTAATGGAATGCTTTATTAATGTTTCCTTTATTTTCTTCAACTCAAGAAAGCATAAACAGACTTCAAAAATTTCATTCTTATGAGAGGTAATTTCATCTGCCATTATGGAAAATGTGTGCATTTCTTTAAATTGTCAAAAATAAATTTTCTTATCGAGTCACTTGCAATATTTCATTCTGGATATCAGTGTATTTATATATTTTGCATTCTTTGGGCATGAAGTAAGATATTTTTTTTTGAAGAATAATCTTTTTTAGCCAATAATCATAAAACAGCTATAAAAATTCCCTCATTATTTATTTCATCCATATTCACATCAATTCTCATTGAAGGATTTTCAAACCATTTTTGGAAGTCTAAAGACCTTCGAACAACATCCTGATGACAAAGTTTTGTTTCATGTTTGAGTAGGAGCTCGCCAGACTTATTGTAGTTCAAAAATGGAGCAGTAATAAGAAAAGATGCACGTTTTTGTCCTTAGTTGAGAAAAGTATGCATGGTACACACCATCCTCCTGGAAGAATTTCACTGTAGACCAGCCATTTGAATTCTAGGAGCCAAGAATGTTGAAATGAGTTTTAGTTTTCTCCAACCTTTTCCCAGCTACTTTAAAAGTTCTGCTATATAGCTTATATTCTTCCTTTGGCTTCCAGGTTCAGTTAGGTCACTGTTTACTGCATGTGCAATGTCTAATGAATTGTGGGATGCAGGTGATGATTCTGACACAGCTTCATCTTCAATTATCACTGTTTCATTCTCAATGGAAATTTCTATCACATTTTCTGAATCACCTTTAGCAACAGAAGAAATCTGATTGCCTGATGTTGAAGTAGGTTCAAAGGGCAATAAAACAATAAAATTTAATTATAAATAGATGTATACTGTTTTGAGGTTAAAGCTACTTAGGATAAACGAATGTAGTTTCATATTACAATTGGAAGTCATTCTAGAAGGAAAAAAGAGAAACAATGATATAATTATGCAATGTATGCATTTTGAGAGAAATGAAAATTATTTTCATGTAATTAAGGATTAATTCAAAGATATTTTGAGCATGTTATGTTATATTTTTATGGAGTACACATTTATTATCAAATTCATAATTATTGTAGTAATGAAATATAAAATAAATATGATATATGGATTGCATAGTTTCCCCTAGTGTGAGAAATGTGACATTTTTTCTCTAGGCATTCCCTCTTCTCTAATTTATTCACCACCCCTCCAAGAAGTATGAAATTTAACTATCAAATCACCATTGCTCAGACAAACCATAATTTTTATAGCCTTCAATCTTGTTTGGTTACAGAGCCATCTAATAGAAAATCAGACTCCTCTTGCCACACCCACCTGTCACATACTCACTTTCAGGATTTGTTAATAGTTCTCTCTTACATTTAATACTATATTATTTATAACTAATAGAAAGCCAAGATTTTCATGTATCAAATGATGTATTATATTAAGTTGTTACTGAACAGAGAATTTTCAATTTCTCTTTTAGTACACAGGAAACACATCAAATAGCTTGGATGAATTTGTAACAGCTCTTGTTACATAGTTAGAAAGTCAGAAAAATTGTTATATTTATGGAACATTGTATGCTCTTTGCACGTTATTATTCTATATTCTTTGATGCATTCTTTAATTAAATAATTATTTAGTGCACTGGTACCATTAGAATATAAAGAGTAGGGTTAAGTGTCATTAACTGTCGAAAGCAAAACAAAAGGTCCAAGTAAGTACTTTATTTGTTGTTTTTCATGTGTATTCTTTATTCATTATTATAAAAGTAACTAAAATGTAAAAACAGGAATCTCTTTAGGTTAATTAAATTTAGATTAGGTCAAATAACGATAAATAATAATATAATAAAAATGTTTCATGAGGCATGCATGCGAGCAGCTCAGAGTATCTCGTGGGTAATGTAATTCGATAGCGTAATGTGAGCTCCACATTCCCCAAGCGATTTAAAACTTATAATGGTGCCAATAGTAGTTAGACATGGTTCAAAGGCCAATAAAATAATAAAATTTAATTATAAATAGTTGTATACTGTTATGAGTTGAAAGCTACTTAGGATAAATGAATGTTGTTTCATGTTACAATTTGAAGTCATTCCAGAAAGGAAAAAATGGTAATTTAGATGTATTTCTTTTTTTTTTCGGTGGTTATGAGGTCAGTCAATTTGACCAACTTTGTATAAAGTTAGGGTAGAGAAAATAACAGATATAATATAAAGTTTTACGGAAAACAAATGTATTTAGGAGGTTTTAGAGATTACACAAATGATAGTTGAGATTTTTGAGATAAAGAAAATAATTTTTAATCATAACATGAAAATCACTTTGCACTTGGACAAGTAATGAAACAGACTCGATATATTCACAAACAAATCCTTTGTAAAAATACTTCATTAAAAAATTTGATCTTTTGTGTACAAAAGATTTGTAATGTTTCCCAAAAGTCTACAAAATTATGTCTGTCTTTTCCCTTGGGTGTTAGCTAAGATCATTGTGTCCCATTATCAAGTTCTTGTTGTTACCCCATACTGACCTGATCAACCATGATTTCCACTACTCTGTCAATCATCTTAGAAGATCTTCTTCCTTTATCACATTGGAAATGTCTTCTCAGCCAGCCATAAAGTTCCATGTTCTACAGTAATGTTCATCATCTACAACTTCATGGTTGGCTTTTATGTTAGAGATGCTGTCATATTCTTGCTGACGCTTCTCACTAGCACTTTACTAATCTCATTGCTCTTTCTTTTATGGTTAGTACCTGCAAAATTGGATTTCATGTCTTTTGCCAACTCCATAACAACTTGCCTCCTTTTCCATATATTAATTTTATGATCAAGGCTTGTTTGTCTGCTACAGAGCTGCTCTCTTGCCACTTTCTGTACCCACAGAAATCATATGCCTCTCTTGTTCTCACTTTTTTCAGGACCCTTTTCAAGCTTTCCATGTACATCACCCACTAGTGCCTAAATGCTGCCCTCAGTGGGATTTAAAGCTAGTCTTAGGTTATCTAACATCTTATTCTTTTTAACCCTTAACAACATGTTCACTATACCATCTTTCTCTGAAAACATATTTTCTTTTCTTACTCAATTCAGAGTCAAATATTTTAACCACTGATGCTTTTTGTACTCTTTTTATTTCTCCAAGGGCTCTGTGCTTATATTCTGATAGGGCCTTCCTACCTAAGAGGGTCATAGCTGTTTTTATCCTATTGTGTAACCTACACTGCCTGACCCAAATTCTCATTTCAAGGAATGTTTTCTATATCCTGTTAGAGCTGTTCTTTACTATCTTGCATGAACAAGACCTTTTCCAGAATTTTGACATTATTTATATATACTTCATGATGAATCTTACTCCATATGCAGCTGATCTGTTCTCTCTATTTTAATGTTCCCAAACACATTTGGCATGAATTTCTGGTTACATCTAATCAAGTTTGCCATTTGGCTATGTCATTAGCTTCCCAGTATCGGTGCTGTTTAGAGGGCATCTTGTAGGCTGGTATGAGGATGAATCCAGATACCTTGAGATTCTGTTTGTTTCCTGTGGTTATTTTTCAGGCTTTATGAAATCGATAACAGATTAGTTTTGTTTTTTTATCTTTTCTGTCCAACACCTATTATGCACTATTTTTAGGGTGTATGGGTTTGTACATGATTTCATTTCATGCACACAAATATATAAAAAAAAATTCAATGCAGTCTCTCCTTCTGTAGGGAGATGTAGATAAGAGTGCCATCTGGTAGCTGATGATGCTTAGCAGATACCTCTCCAACCTCTATTTGCATGTCCTTGTGTGGCATTGGATATATCACTAGTTGTCTCATCTCCAATCAGGATAGGGATCATCCAAGTTCTTATTCTTATATATTTATTTCTGTTTTGATGTTCCCATTGCACTGTCCTCATGTTGTTGAACCTATCCTGGGGACTGCTTGAGTCTTTCTTTGGATTTCCCTGAGCAATCATTAATTAGGCTGGCCCTCAGACTCCATGGTCATTTTCAATATGGATGAAGAGGGGCTACTGCCTTTGGAGTATGTCCTTTCGTAATATGTGTCAGGGTTGCTTCACTGAGAACATTCTGCTCTAGGAGCTAGACATAGTATTCCTCCTACCTGTTTATGTCTCTACCTGTATCCCATAGTTGGATCCACAGGTTCAATACTCCATTGATGCTCACAAAACTAACCCCTTTTCCTGTATTAAAGGGCATCATGTATGAAGAGGTACCCTGCAGAGAAGAATTCCTTCTTTCTGAGTGTCCTTTAAGTCCAGTATTCGTATAAGGCTGATCCACTTCACTCATTCTCCTTTGGATCAATTTTTGTGAATTAGGTTTTAGTTCTGCATATCTACATATTTCTTATGGCTTGAATTATTATCTTCCTGTCCTGTAGCTTGTAGTTTTATACTTTTCTGTTTATTTTCATGTTCACTCAAGTGCTACCTTCTTTACAAGGTGTGTGTTCTGGTTTTCAGTATTTCATAGGTAAGTATGCCTGATTTGAATCTTACCTTTTTAAGATTAAATGGAATTTTACACTGGTACTTACATCTAAAATACCTTCCATCCTGCCTCCCCATGACTGAATTTTCATCATGACTGCAACTTTCAATAAAATCTATATTATGGTGGGAAAGCAGAGCTTATGTAAGCTCCCCTGATACTTGAACAATAACTCATGAGTGTGAGAATGGAGAATTATGAGTAAGTAATACATGCTTTGCATTGCATGTAGATATTCAGGAATTTTGAGTCATATGTTTTGTTGACAGCATGAGTTCAAACTAAACAGCAAAAAGTTTTCAGTATTTCCAAGGTACCTGTTTGAAACTCATTTTAATTACAAAAATGTAAAAATATTTCTGAGAGGTCTGAATGCCCATTTTTACTTATCAACATCATATAAAAAAAGTTTATTGTACAACAAAAAGAGTAGGTCACTGAATATCTGTCTCTAGAGTTAAAAAGTTTGTCTGTTCATTTGAAAGAGCAGCTAGTTTTTAAGTCTAAAACCATTTTTTTGTATTTAACTTTTTGATATTTTCCTATCTTTGAGAATGTAACACATATGTTTGTTCGAATATAGCCTTTAGTGGACAGGAAAAGTTCTGATACTCAGTATAATTTTTTTTTCTTGCCATGAGTTAACTCAAAAAAATAATAAAAAGCAGATTATTAGAAGATACAATGTTTGTCACTGATGCATTAATTTAAAGTTTAAGCATGTAGAATTTTATAAGTTAGCTTTAAATGTTATATATTATAGCTAATATCCTTTTATTAACTTAACTCTAATGTTAGTTCTCTTTTTCGAGAGTTTAATGAAATTTTGATTGGTTTGTTTTAAGGCAAAGAAGCTTTTAACTGAAGGTCTGAAAATTAATAACACAAAGGAATCCTGGCTCGGCAGTGCTTCCATGGGTAAGGATGTTGAAGTTAAGAATATATTTTGCACAAGTTGGATAAGAATGTAAGCATATTGTCATGAAAAATAAAATACATAATATAAAGGGTTGCATGCATTGTATTAGAATGATTTCAATTATGCTATTCAAAAAGTTACATCACAACTGCAGCCAATATAAAGTCATGGTGGGACAGAATGTATCACAACTACATTTTGACATTGTATTAAAACATTTCATAGGTAGTTTGATGCCACCAAAAACTGATCACTTTTGGAAGGGTATGTAACAACCATTTCTGACACAAAATATTCATACATTTAGATCATAAAGATGTGTTTGGATCAGGAAGTAAGAATTTCCATCTGAGGATATTCCTTGTACGTAATTCTCATTGGAAAACAAAGGAATAAGGATCAACTTGTGAACCAGGACAATCCAGAAAGAGATCTGCAATAAATTGTACTACAGCCATGGTAAGCAAAGTGTGCCATCTTGTAGCAGGTGAAAATCCAAGAACACAAAATGCAGTAACAAAGGGTGTCTACATGCCCCAGGCAACAGTACACAACATAGTCAAGAAGGATCTCTGACAGGAAAAGTGACAGAAAACTCATATACGCAATTTGCTTCCATGGTATATTTGTTCAATCATATACTTCAAGAAACTAGAAATTGAAATGGGTATTTGTGTTCATGGTATTCTATACAAAGACAACCAATACAGTCTGGATGAAGCACCTGTGAATTTCTATGCTATTGGACTGTTGAAATGGTCACTGGGAAACAGTCACCCTCTTAAACTAGTTGACTTATGAAAAGCATGCAGGTAGGTGAGGTGTGCTTTAAACATAACAGCTTTATGATAGATCTTCTTTGCAATGGAGACTATACTGCAAAGCTATTCTCAAGATACATGGTCATTGGATGGAGCATAACTTGATGATGTTAGGTTCCTATACTATTTCAATGTAATGTACTCAACCTATGTATGTCATGTGTATTAACTCTTTGTCAACAGGGTGTGTCCATTGGGCCAACCTCATATTTGTGAAGTTGTACATAGTAATGTTTACTATAATTCTGAATTTATTATATGTATCTTCACAAAATTTGGCAAGCTTTAAACAAACATTACAATTCTGTTGTGCACAAAAAATCAGAATGTTTGATAATGTATTTGTACTAAAGATTTGTACAAATGTATCATGTTTATGATTTTTAAAGTTTTGAAGGTGAGACTTTCCTATTTAACAGTATTTTTATAGGTAATTCTAACTAAGCTATAACTTATTATTCTGTTGTGCACAAAAAATCAGAATGTTTGATAATGTATTTGTACTAAAGATTTGTTTTGTGAATTTTCAAAGTCTTTACTGAGTCAATCTGAGTACAAGGTGATTTTCATGTCAAGAATAAAAATACTTTTTTCATCTCATGATTTTTATATTTAATTTGCATTATCTCTAAAACCTCCTAAATGAATATCAAGAGTTTGTTTTTGGTAAAACTCGATACCTTCTCTACCCTAACACAAACTGTAGCAAATTCATCAATGTACAGTGAAATGAAAATTTGAAAAATACTACAAAAAGAATGAAGAATACTTTTTTTTTCTTTTTTGAATCAATCATTTTACTAGATTGTCCATCTTCTTATGTTCATAGTTTCAACTGTTAACCTTTTCATATCTCTTTTAGTTTAATTGTTTTATTGCCTGTACTTTGGACCACTGATGTCAGTCAAAATTAATAAATCACTATGCTAGGTAATTAGCCAATTGTTGTGAGCAAAGCATGTGCCATGCTCTATATATGCACTCAAAGAAGAATAAAGCTAAGCCTCCATTGTTTTCACTAAGTTATTCAAATAAAAATTCCTGTAGCTTTCATGTATGCATTTTAGAATACAAAATGTATATCAGCACTATAATAGAATGTTCCAGAGCATCTATAATTTAACTGGCTTTCTAACTAATTTATAAATAGATTATAAAAATTCTGTTAGATGCTTAGAGCTGAATAACAATGGTTATACATAAACAATCTGAAGTGAATTGTCTACATATTCCTGTCAATAACTGTAATAAGATCCTTGTAGGAGACAAAATTCTGTTTCTGTTGGTTATAAATATGCCCATTAAATAAGGCTGCTTGGTTTAGATAATTTCCTTCAAACCTCTGATAAGATGGGAGGAGATTCACTGGTGGGTTTATGAAACATATTTGTGTCTCAGCAAATCAAGAAGGTAGGAGATTCAAATTCATTCCAGCCTATCAATATCTATAGTTTGTATTTACAATTTGTTGAACACACTTAATGCCATATAAGGGATAAAATAAAATCTAAAATGGAGACTTCAGAGAGGAGGCATGTCACATGACACACAGAAGTAAAAATTGAGAATTTATTGAAATATTTCTTTTTCAAGTTAAGGAAGTAAAACCCAAATAATATAAAACCTTGAATTATATATTATGTTTTAATTCCAAATTTATAACATACATTGGTAGTAAAGTTAATTAATTAAATTTTGAATGTAACTCTGTAAAGGTTCATGACATGCACACTTTGACTAATTTGAGTGCATAGGGTGAAGAGAAAAGAAATAATTGTGTGTTTGGTATGGTTTTATTATATATATTTTGTTCTGTTACCTTATCTTCCCATTTGTAGGGGTTTCTCTTCAAAAACATGCAGATCTTACAGGACCAGAAGAACAAAAGCCACATTCAGTATTACATATTATGATTTTTAAAGTTTTGAAGGTGAGACTTTCCTATTTAACAGTATTTTTATAGGTATTTCTAACTAAGCTATAACTTATAAAAATTGTACCCTGTTCAGTGCCATTCCAGTAATCATCTGAAAACTGAATGATATTGACTTGTCCATCTCTGCTAAACAACAATATGCTCTAATGAGCTGAGATAACCAATAATACATTTAATGTTAAGAGTTTTTAAATTCCAGTTGGTTTGATTTTTTTCATATTCAAATAACTATTGTAATTGATGTGAAAATGTTAAAAAGTATCTTCTGTATAGTTAGTTAGTTACCCTAATTTTTCAGTGTGCTATTTAATGGATTCATAATTAGTTGATATTTTACACATTGGTATGCCAAAATCATTTATGTTTGCTGATAATGCTAATTTCTGGATATTTTTAAAGGAATTTTTTTATGCATTCTATAAAATTATTCATTTGTGTTTCTAAGTTTGTTACTGTAGAGTTTATTTACCTTTGCAATATTTATAAAATTGAAATTAAAATTGATACCTTCTGTGGCTATCTTGCTGGACTTTGATTCCAAAGATAAATGGTTCACATCTAATTGCTGTAAAATTTCTTTAGAGCCTTGGTCAAATCCCACCAGAGAAGCCTAAGAGTTGATGGTTGGTGCTGGTGACTAGCTATCTTTCCTGTATTAGTTCAAAATTAGAGGTGGTTAGCACAGATATCCCTCGTGTAGTTTTGTCCAATATTTGAAAACTAAACAGATACATACCTCCTCACTTTTGAAGGAGTTGTAGATGAAAATAGAGCACATCATACATCAGTTGATATCTGTTGTAAATTTGTATTGTATATTTGTGTACAACTACAAATAACATAAGGTTGGAACAAGCATGTAGCCATTCCACTTGACATTTTTCAGCAGCATGTTGATGTTAGAGATTATATATGTTTTAGAAATCAGAGAGTAAGCAAAACATAAACATTATGTTTTAACTTTAATCTTAAAATGCGAAGAAAATCAGTTAGGATATTTAGGTTAAAAGAGTTATTTTCAGTTTGTATTTGTGTAAAAATACAATTTGGAGAGAAATAATGTGCTTATGTCACATAATCATTAAAGAATGTTACATTTACACTTTCATCTATATTTTCTCAAAAAAAGAAGCAGTCTTAAAACTTGGATACTTATGAACAGTCAATTCAGATATGTGGATGTCAAAAGATGGGAATTACTGCTGTATCCAGAAATGTTTCATTCAAGTAAACTCATCCCAGTGATAGTGCTGAGAAAACTAAACATTATCATTGTTTTCGTTAAGCACTGATCACACCCAATGCTGGAATTGTAACTATTTAATAAGGGGAGCTTCATAAATATAATTCATGAGTAATTCATCAGTACAACTGTAACTATACATATTTCTCTATTTAATTCAGTCACTGAAGTCTCACTTTTCGAAACATCCCTCATGAATCTCTTAAAAAGGGAGACAAAATTGATATTTATTTTAATGGTAGAAATAGTGTTCCCTCCTAATTTTAGCACTGATTATATCCATTTTTAATGTCAAATCACCAATCCACCTGTCCTGTGATCTAATTCAATATAGAGGAGTGAGTAGCACTAGTTATACTCATATTTAATGTTCAATTACCAATCCACCAGTCTTGTGATCTAACACAATACAGAGGAGTGAGTAGCACTAGTTTTACTCATTTTTAACATCCAATTACCAATCCACCAGTCCTGTGATCTAACACAATGCAGAGGAGTGAGTAGCACTAGTTATACTCATATTTAACATCCAACTACCAATCCACCAGTCCTATGATCAAACATAATACAGATGCAAGTGGGTCATGAAGTTTCTGGGTGCATAGTATGACATCTCAAATTGTTTTCTTTAAATGTTGGCTAAATAATTCTGATAGAAGTAAAAATTAAAACTTATTATTAGTCAACAGGTAGACATAGTTTTCTGCATTTAAGTCTGAACATACTGTCTTGATTGTGGGGTTACCTCAGTTTTTCTTTTTACACAAAAGTGTTAAAGTTGTCATAGCTTTAAAAGATGTTTAAGTGTTAAACACCAACAGTTGCTTTTCTGAGAACGTGATTTGATGTTTTTCATTGCAGCTATGTAGTTGGCCTTTATCATATAAATAGCTTAAAATAAGAGATATGTAAAATGGCACTGAATGAATACTGAGAAATTGATGGTTCTATTTCAAAAATGATAAATTATGTAAAAAGTTTTAGAATTTAGTGTGTGTGAGAGTTTGGATTTATATGTTATACACACATATATAAGCAGATTTTGTTAAACAAGACCGATGTCTGTAGGTTTACTTTCTTCTTAGAATTCTTCTCAAGAAGTTGCCAAGCCGTCTTACCGTCGTAAGAACAACGGGTAAAAGTTGTAGCTCGTGATGAGTTGGCC